TCTCATATTTCTATCCACTACATCTCATATTTCTATCCACTACATCTTACATTTCTATCCACTTCATTTCACATTTCTATCCACTACATCTCACATTTCTATCCACTACATCTCACATTTCACGGGGAGATGTTGTGCTGAAAATGATTAGCCAGTTGATTAGTTGATCATTAGAATTCTTCAGTAAAGAGCCGATCCTTCTCCAGTTCAGCATCTGAAATGCAATGATTTGATGCCTCTCTCTGTTTTCTCATTACATTATTTTGTGTTTCTGTTTTGGACTGTTCTTTGAAAAAGTAATTGAAGACTTAAATGGAAATGCAAAACTCGTTAGTTGCAGCTAGAGTTGCAAAATTGGAAAATAATTTGAAATAAATTGAAATTTGGGGCAATTTTCCACAGGCAGTATTTACAATAAGTAGACGCAATTATAAACTCTTCAAATTGAAAAACGTAAATATAATGTAAAAAGTATAAATATGGTCCTTATATCCTCTCCATGGACTTCCTCTGTTAGTTCACTATTAAAAAGTACAACATTTAAATTGAAACTGTGAAAAATACAGTTCCCTTCCCTCAACACTACAATAATGGCTCCTGATCGTTACTATGCAGATCAATATTCCACTGATAAATTAACATAATTTCACTTTTACAGATAAATAAAGAAATATGGATATGAAATAAATCAATAAGGCGATATATATATATATATATATAATATAGATCTTTTTATATCTGAATGGGGTAATTGGCTTGTTGTACTTTCTTGGGGAGTATTATTTGATGTCACGTGTAGACACGTGTGACAAACAGAGCCAATTAAGCTACAAACATTTGAAGCGTGTGACAAGTTTCCACCTAAATCTCTGATGAATTGTTAAAGCAGTTTGGTTCATTTATTCTTGGGAGACTTTTAATGAACAGCTCCTGTGATCATCGTGTTTTGTTTTTTTTCTTGTATTAATAATCTTGTGTTTAGTGATTCAAAATATTCCTCCGTTAAAGAGCTGCGGAGATAATTAGCATCGGAGGTGTTTGTTTGTTTTAGAAGCTCTTTGATTCTCTCATTATTCTCCTGTGTTCTGCGTGTTTGACTCTCTCTGTTGTTCGGTGGCTCACAGTGTCGGACGGTGAACACACCACTCCTGAGCTGGACTTTGCCGTCCTGCTGCTGTCCAACCATCAGCAGCCGCCGGTGTTTCAGGTTCTGGACCCGCTGCTGGAGGTCGGCCTGGGAGGACAGGCCTCCATAGGTAAGAGAAGAAGAGACACACACACACACACTTCTGATACGACAGCCTGTGGTGAAGCGGTCCAGTGAGTGATGAATTGGTCTCTGTGAGGTAATGAGCTCTGAAGTATGACCCTGATGAGCAACACCATGCTGGAGAGAAAGAGCTGTGTGTGTGTTTACAGTCTGCTACAGACAGTTAGGTTTCTCCTTCTCCTGCTTCATCTCTCTTAACACTCCTTCTTCTTTGTGTGTGTGTGTGTGTGTGTGTGTGTGTGTGTGTGTGTGTGTGTGTGTGTGTGTGTGTGTGTCTGTGCAGGCGGTCAGCAGCTGGCAGTGAGTGATGCTGACACGGCTCCAGACGAGCTGGAGTTCGAGCTGGTGGAGGCTCCCGTCCACGGAGAGCTGGTGAAGACCGACGGCAACTCACACACTAGCATGGCCAACGGTGAGACGAGTCACATGACACGGACACAACTACTGCCTGAGCACAAGACAAAGTGGACGTTCAGCAGGAAAATAGTTGCTCAGAAAACTTAGAAGTTGTTGCTCAGAAAACTCAGAAGTTGTTGCACAGACAACTAAATATTTGTTGCACAGAAAACTTAGAAGTTGTTGCACAGAAACAGGCTACAGGGACTCAAACCAGAAACACACACACACACACACACACTCACCTGCGTTCACACCTTCTCCGTCCCGTCAGGCGACATCTTCACCTTCAGCGACGTCACCCGCAACGTGCTGCTCTACCGGCACGCCGGCCTCAGCGACCGGGACGACACCATCACCTTCTCCGTTAGCGACGGCATCTCCATGGCGACCACGGCGGTGCAGGTGGCGGTGCTGGGCGCCGGGGGCGACGGCCCCCGGCGGGACCTGGGGGCCACGCTGTCACTGGAGGTGGGCGAGAAGAGCAGCACCGTGATCAGACGCTCACACCTGGCCTACACCGTGAGTTCATCGGGGAGAGAGGAGAGAGGAGAGAGTTATCGATGCTTTGAGGAGGAGACAACATGTTTATACCTTTAGATATAGATATAAGCTCTTACTTTGTGTCTCTCGTAGGACAACACGTCCCCAGACGAGCAGATCCAGATCCAGTTGGTGTCGGTGCCGATGTACGGCATCCTGACCCGGAGCGAGTCGCAGCAGAAGCACCAGGAGCTGAGGGAGTACTCCTCCTTCACCATGGAGGACGTCAGCGAGCACAGGATCAGGTAGGAGGGACGGCAGGCCGTCTGCTGAGCTTCAAGAGACGATGCAGAATGAGTCCATGCAAACATGGAGAGCGCTTCAAGGACTCAAGTATTGGACTTTTCCTGGTACTTGTGGAATAGCTGTTACGATTGGGAAGTTATCGTTAAAGGCGAGAGTCTAAACATTTGCGATGAAAATCGCCCAAAACAACATCCTTGGTTTCAGTTCCCCATGATGGTTTCACTCTACTTCAGAGGCTTATAAAAACAGAATATCAGCAAAAATACCGCAGCTATTAACCAAAAATGACTTTCAAACGCCCAGAAGCAGTCGTTGTATAAGCAGTGAAGGTTCACGAGGGTCCATGGGAGGGAGGAGAGTGAGTTAGCGCTTTTTTAAGTTCTTCAGTAAAAATAAAAGAAATGCTCAAGGAGTTCTGCTCACAGCTCCCTCGTGGTGACTTTACCTTAAACCTGCAGCCATGATGAGTTTATCCAGTGTGTGTTAAAAGTGTTTCATAACATTAAAAACCCAAAGGAGAGTTAGGAATCCTTCAAAAGAAAGTTAAACCACGTAGAATAAAGAAAAGAGCAGAGAGGAGTGATGGGCTTTAGGTTTCTCTGAGGTACCGACGGGATGTGAGAGCTTCTAATAAAGAAGAGAGAAAACGGGCCCAGAAAAGTCAGTAGATGTTGCTCAGAAAAGTTAAAAGTTGTTGCACAGAAAACTCAGTAGCTCTGAGGGTTCTTCAGTCATGATGAATTTGTGAGATTGCAGCCGGAGTGGGCGGGGAGCGTGTTCCCCTCGACAGCACCACAGAGGAAGAGGCGGTAATAGCTCGCTGAGTTTCTCTTCAATCTAACGCGTCTCCTCACGAGACGAGTGCGAACATTACCAGCAGAAACCCAGCAAGAAAACAAACTAATTAGCTGGAAATCATTTAATACCCCCCCCCCCCCCACCTTCACACACACACGTTCAGTGACTCAGCCTGATGCCAATTAGCATCACTCTGAAATTACCTGCACGAGGTACCGAGGCCCCATCTGAGAGGACATGAAATATAAATATTCACGTTCTAACTGCTTCATTTGCATAACGCAGGCCCTGATTAGCTCCAGCGCAGGACGATCATCCAGGGGGGGGGGGGTCGTATTAGTTTCTCTCTCCGTGGCGTTCGGGCTCGTACAAACAAGAGCCGGGGAATTGTTTTATGAGAATTAAATGGGATTAGAGGAGAGTGTTTGAATGTTATTAGTGCTTTGAAGAGATTAGCAGCTGCATGGCAGCGGGAGCACCAATGCTTTTCTTTCCAAGTCCTCTTTATCCGTCCAGGATTAGACATATTTATGTTTTCATTAGCGGAGATTTATTGGATCAAACAAATTAGTTATTAAACAACATCAAATCAACACTAACCGACGTCTCCGTCTGCAGGTACGTCACCTCCTTAGAGACGGGCAGCCAGCCGGTCACCGACATCTTCCACTTTGTCGTGTACGACGCCGACAACAACCGCCTTGACAACCAGATGTGCACCATCACCATCTCCTCCGCGCCCAGACAGCCGCCGACGGTCACGGTCCGCAGCGGCATCAAGGTGGTCTCACACACACACACACACACACACACACACACACGGGCCCGATTCTGAAATGATCCTAATGTTTATAATATTACAGTTTTATGGCTGTAACTGAACATAAACGCACAAACAAACTGCACAGTTATGTCCCCTCTGTTACTCTGTCTGCTCATAAGAGACTGAAATCCTAAAAATACTCTTCAGAGGTTGTTTTTAATTCAGAAACTGTTTTTAACGAGACAAATGAAGCCGAGCAAAACCCTCTATACACACATGTCCCTCAGAGAGCCTGGCCCTCAGAAGTAACAAAGTACATTTACGAAAGTCATTATTTACCCACTAAACTGGAATGTAAATGAGACTTTGCTCTACTGTATAAGAGCATGTTGGACCCATTATTACAAAGGCCATCCTCAAACATTTAGACATTTAGAGGCATCAAACACATCTGGAGAGAGTTTGTAGTTAGCAGGTAGTGGAAACAAAAGCTCTTCTGATATGTTGTGATCCGTTACGATAAGCCGACCCGCTGTCTGCAGCATCATCGGTGTAAATACGGTCCGTGGGGCAAAAAAAGCTCATTTCAGTATTTTGCGGTTCAGGTCCAGGAAGGCGGGCGAGTGCTGCTGTCTACCAATCACATCATCGTGTCGGACCTGGACACGCCCAGGAAGGACCTGCTGGTTTGGCTCGTCAGTCCGCCGAAGTACGGCTTCATCGAAAACACCAACAGAGGTGAGAGCTTCTAGTAGTGTGTGTGTTATGAGCAGGTTTAGAGATAAAGAGTTTGGCTTGTTCGAGGGATTTAGGAAAACCTGCCACACTCACCAATATGTGCTGTTATCCTAAACGAGTTTTCCACTGATGGATTGTATATTTCATTACTTTGGAGCAATTTGCTTTAGAAAATCCTTTTTTGGACTAAAATTGGCTTCTGATGCCATTGTATAGCAGCACAATATGAACATGTCAAGCTGCAAAACAACTTCAATTATGCCCGAATTAAAGGATAGTTTCTCTCTGTATACGATAGAATCAGTGAGGAGTGTAATCAGGCTTCTTTTGAATGCCTTAATCTTTGTTTATACATATTTGTGTGCGCTTGGCTCCGTAGCGTGAGCCTCCATACGAAGGTGTTAGTGCTCAACACACTGTTTGTTGTATTATTCTCCGAACCTCCAGACGGCGTACGAACAAAATGAACTGTGAAGAATGAGAAAGACAACGACTGTAACAGTCAAACAACCATAACCCCACCTCCACCACGCCGAGGAGCGATTGTAATAACTGTAAACTCATATCTCATATGCATGAGATATGCATGAGACTACTTTATTACCTTTATACAAACCCTCTCAGGAAACAAGTCAAGTATTAAAAGCTTTATAAAGAAGCGAAGGTTGAATGAAGATCCTGTAAATCATTTCATTTGTAAATATATTTACTCTCACATGTAGATTTTTAAATCCTCCTTTTTCGAAAGCATCTATAAGTAAGTTGGTCGTCTTTGTATAATCCCTTTATTTACTTTATTCCAGTGCTGAAGGTGTTGAAAAGTATATATTTTTCTTTATGTCTTCATGTCAGTGTGAAGTTCACTTCTGGACATATGAGGCAGGAAGCGTGGCCTTATGTGGTATTATTGAGTGGTTCGTTATGCTAATGTCTCCGGGACGCTCGCTCATTAACGCACGTGTTTACACCGGTCCTCTGAAGTTAGGAGGGATGAATCTGACGCACGTGTACGAGCCCACCGAACGCAAAGACAGAAGGAGAAAGTTAAGATGAGAACAGGAAACCCGATGTTTCTCTCCTTCTCTGTGAGGTTACACATCAGAACTCTGAAGACACACACTGTACACATGTGAGAGCACACGTGGCTCGGTGCTGCTCCCGTGTGAGCGTCTCACCTGCATCATTTTCTCACTTCTATTCATGTCACACTCGTACGCTCACGATCCCCCGGGTTTAAAGAAGTCTCCCGCGGTGCCGCCATCCATCTGTCACAGCTCCATCATGTTGTGGATTAGCACCGCCAGGTAGCCGGCTACAGATGGATCCATTGTTGGAGTCCCAATTTTAACCCGCTTGTCTGCTCAACCTCAGAGGAATTTTTTGATTTAAAAAAAGAAAGAAAGTGAGATGAGCTGAGACGGAGCTGATCCCCTCTGGGAAAATGTTTCATCCTGAGAACAGAATGGAATTCAAAAACCGAACTGGATATGGACAGAAAGGGCAAGAAGAGAAGCAGATACTCACAGCACAGTAATACCGTTGAGTATAATAGAGTACGTGAACACGTGTGGAGCTCATTCATCGTCTTACAGAATGGATGTTTCAGTTTCAGGATTCCACAAAGATGCACATCTCTGAGATATGATGATGGCATCAACAAAATGCTGCAGATCTGTGACACAAGATGGTTTAGAAGACGCTTCTCATTAGAGGAGCACGCTGATAGATGAGTTGCATCATGGGAAATGCAGGATCCAATGTGTTCGCTCCACCTGTACTTGAGACGACAAGTCAGAATATCTCAAACTCTGAAGATGGATTTACTGCAGTGCTGCTTCAACACAATATCTGAGCAAACCCCAGTAGCTGATGAAGGCTGTGTGATGTGGCTGAAAGCTCTGGAAGAAGTTAGTAAGGAAACATAAAAGTTTAAAGCTGCTAAAAGAAATCAGAGGAGACATTTTCACAGGCAGAGTTTGTCATGTTAGCCAGCAGAAAGGAAGCAGGAGGATGAAAGAAGAGCCAGCGATAGAGCACGGGGAGAAAACAGTCTTTGGTTGTTAAAATAACAGACGGAGAGAAATGTGGGATTTGATTGAAAACTGATCCTGCATTGATCCTCTTCCTCTGGCTGTATGTCACATGTCTATTTTATTCATTAAATACTTTCCAAGACATGGTTTTGTCTTTTGTCAACATTGGTGGCTAAATCAAAGTTTACTGGAATTATTAACCATAAATAATGAGATTACCTCATCGCTCTTATTATCCTGCTAAAGAGTGACGTAGAGACGCCGTATACGTCTCTGGTAGAGACCTGTCAAT